CGCGTGTGTCCCGCGTGCCAGAGAGGGGAGGGCAGGGGGCAGAGCGGCCCGCGGCCCTCGGGCGCTCCCGCGCGCAGCACGCGGCGTCCTGGGCACAGCCGAGCGCGGCCTCCCGCGCACGGAGCTGCCCTGCCGCTGCCGAGCTCTCCCATCCGCAGTGAATGGGCAGTGTCCAGTGCTCCAGGCCATGGACGAGCACGGTCTTAGCTCCCAGGATATATATATATATTTTTCCCTCTAAAATCCTGCAGTCTTGCTCTTCTCCCCCGGAGCCATATGCTCCCTTGCAGGCTGTACCGAGCCAGGCAGGTAGCCGTAGTCATTGCAATCTTTGGGAAACCTCAACAAGCCCATATCCGTGGGCCAGGAGCCATTCCCCAGTCACCCTACTGCTCTTTGGAAGCAACAGATCTTCCAGGTGCTTCAGATTTTCTTTCCAATCTGTGCACAGCTTGAGGTCAACGATGCACAAGCAGTTCTGAAAGCCAAAGAGTTTCTCTGCTGCTAATAGAGTCTATTTATGTTGGGATGTCCCTACTTGTAACGAGGAGAAGCAACAGGACAGTTGTGCCTCTTTAGGCAGCTTTGAAGATCTCAGCCAGCAGCTGGAGCGTGTTGGGGCTTCAGGGCTTGCTGAGTAACTATTACACAACCTATCACTGTTTTCAGTCTTATTGACGTAAGGCTCTTCAAACATACACTGCACGGTTAGCTCTGAGGTCAGCTCTACTGCCTCCATCTTCTGGTCCCAGTGAACGCGCTACTGAATTTCCCATCAGAAAGCTACCGGTGTTTGAGTAAAGGAAAGACTCTGTTCGGGCCAGTCAATGGATCGAATTTGTAATGCTAAACTTGTCTCGACAGAGTACGTAGGAAGCAGAGTTTTGCAGTCTCATTAATTTTCTGTGATGATTTAACTAACTCAGGAGTCTCGCTAAAAAAAGACTGTAGGTCCTGCTGCTATAATGAAATAGCAGTAACCCTTTGAGCTCCACCACTGCACTGCCAGGGCTGTGTCCAAAAGTACGTGAGAAAGTTGTGGGTTATTTTCAGTTAAAAACCTGCAAAGCCTCTTCTTAAAAATCCATCTGTAACTGCCAAAGGAAAAAAACTCTCACTGTAGATGGAAGCTGAGTGGTTTTAGTTCAGAAAGATTCTTGCTTTTCACTGGGGAAGAGTTTTAGAGCTGATATGCTAGAAGAAGGTAACAGGAGCAGTTAACTCCAATCCATCGATTGCCCTTTTCTCTCTTCTCCATTTCGCTTTGGTTGCATCCAGCCGAGTTTGGAGAGAGAGAGAAAAAAAAGAAAAAACCCTGTCAGGCTGCTCCTGTAGGCTTTTCTGTGGCTACGAGATCATTTCTGCCCACACAACTCCCAAGATGCCAAGTATTTGACACTGCTGGAACTGAGAATGAGCAGAAGAATACAAGTTTCTCTTCCCATGATGTTAGTTTTTCCTAGTGTCAGCGAACCGGGACCAACCTACGTCTCTAGCTCAAACCTCAGCATATAAAACACTCGGCCTACCAGCCCTGTGGAGAAAGGGGATTGCAGCAACTGGAGACTTGCAATCTGCAGAGCTGACACCAGCCATTACCCAAACTGAGCATTATTTGTGAGCTCTACATTTCCCTGGCGATTTCAGATAACCGAGGTCACATCGTCATGGGATTGGAGACAGCAGAGCACGAGCCAACTTGTATCTGGAGGGTGATCGGCAGAGATGGAGCTGTTTAGTCTGGGAAGAGATAACGAAGAAGAGTCAGGAGCAAGCGAAGACTGGAACTTGGCGCTACTTGATAGAAAATATGGTGGATGATTTCATGCAAACTACTGGCCTCCAGTAAATTAATGTACGTGCACAAAAATTGGGAGCAGTCTGCTATATCCAAGATGTGTTTTCCCCATCAGAAGGCTTTGCAGATGAGGGCTATTTGGAGGAGGAATTTTTTATTGCCTGCTCCCTTACCACCTTCAAAGGGCACTTGGAGGTGCAAGTGATCTTTCCTTGTCCAGCACTGCATATTCACCATTAGACAAGGAACACAGACACAGCAGCCTAGTTACTAGGCAAACTCAGGGATGGAAACCCAAACAACAGCCTTTGGTCTCAGTCTCCTATGCAGATCCAACGATTTAAAGGCAAAAGAGCTACATTTTTTCTTTTACTTTGAACTCCCCCAGCAAAGATTTTCCTGGCGTGGGATTACCAGAAGTACAGCAGTGTCTCTGTGAATTATTATTATGTGTTGAAGGAAAAAAAAAAAAGAAAAAGGAATTGTTATATGTTAAAGTGTGCCTAAATTAGGGAAAATGCCAGGATCAAGGTGCAGGGAAAAGAGTAACTTAGAAGCTTCAAAAAGGGAGTGAGAAAAGATCTGGAGCTAGGTAAAATATAATGCAACTGCAGTTCTTGCTCTCTGGTGCTTATTCCCTGATGTCTTGTTGCTACAAAGCTACAAATCCTGCCCCCTCCCACCAGAGAAAAAAAGACCTAGATTTCAGTCACTGCAAACCTGGAAGGAATTTAGTGAGATAAAATAAGCTTTAAATACAGGAAACTGGTACTCTGCCGACAGGGCTCTCCCAAGCGAACTCTGCTGCTGCAGCTCACCTTGGGAGTTGATATGTCTCAGTTGGGTTGATTCTGTAATTAGTGTAGATGAGTAATTAATACTTAAATATGCCATTTTATATGTAGGCTGCCAAAGAACATCTTTCCTGCATCCGTCTGCCCTGCACCTGCCTTCTGCAGTGCTAGGGAAACCTGCATTTCCCCATGCATGGATCACTCGAATGAGGCTCTAACAAAGCCTGGCAAGACCTTAAGTTCTGTCTCATAAACAGTTTGGCTGCCGTTTGATTTATAGCCTCATGTATTGCATTTATACATGCCAATGGTAAATCCTACTACAGAGCTATGTATCATAAATCCCTTGCTTGAACCCCTGGGCAATCTGGACAACAAGGAGCTCATGTGATGTGTTTCGTATTATTTCTTTTGACAAATTCTGCAGTTGAATGGGATGTGGTTGCCACAATTTGCTCCTGCCTTGGAAAACAGCACTCCCTCTCCCTGCATCCAATAGTTGACGTTTATTTTGGGAATTCCTATTCCCAAATTCCTATTTCAGCGTGCTGGCACTGTGGGGAGCAACCTGCCAAGAGTATTGCAGTGAGATGCACATGCCTCTTCCTGCTGTTTTTTGGGTGCCTGCACCAGTTCAAGCCACTTTGTGCATCTGGGCCAGCCTCATGGCCTATGTCTTTAACTGCGCTGCAGTTGCCTCCCGCTTTAAAAATTAACATTACAATAGGATGATACCTAAACTGTGTTTCCAAAGAGATATTGGTGAACCTTTTTAACACTCAAGGCTAAAATGAGAGCTTTATTATCAGTCTGGACAAAGTTAAGGTCTCTTTGAAGAGGTATTAATGCAATGGGCCTCTGGGGAGGATCTCCATCATATATGAAATTACTGCTCCTGTTTGACAGGCGAAGTCATGGCCAGATTCATTCGCAGGATCGTGGGTTAGATCCTGCCAGAGGCTGTAAATTCTTCTCTTAAAAAAGGTTTCTGTGCTCTGGGGACAACCACTGCCACTTCTGGCTAATCTGCATTACCCCATGGTGGGGGTAGAAGTCACCATGCAGAGCAAAAGCATTTGCTGGGGTCTGGCCATGCCAAAGGCACCTTCTAGGTGACCTTAGCTTTGTCTGATGGTTTGTGAATTGTAATTGCCAAAATAGTAATTGCTAAAATCATTATTGCTAGAATTGCAATTGCTAAAATTCTGCCTTTTGCTGTCTCAGAAAGACAAGAGATGAATCCTGCAAATTTTAGAAAACATCCCCGTTTCAAACATTCCTTTTTTTGCAAACCATCAATTACCTCAGGCTACAGTTCATCTCAGCTTTGTCGCACTCCAGCAATTATAATTCTTTGAAGACTTCAGCTACTTCATGATTCTAGGCAACCTGAATCATTCCTCATATTTATTCCTAGATGGCAGACACCCGGGCAGGCACATCAGCAGCTACAGGCCCCATGGCACGTGCTCTGAACAGCGAGGGTTTGGGGGTTTTCATGACGTGCTCGCTCTTCAAGGGGATGTTACCCTGCTTTTCACAATATTTTGGAGCAACAAGCATGAAGATGTGATAGATTCTCCATCGCCTGGAGTCTCTGTTGTGGTCTGGGATGTCTTTGTAAAGGCACAGGCCAGCTCAGCCCTGAGACTGGCGGTTGATGCAGGAAACACTGGTAGAGGTTTCACGGCTTGTGTGACACTGGACGCTCCTCGGATTTGTCTGCGAGGTGCAATCCCTCTGCACAGCCTTTCCCGTGTCCCACTGTTTTATCAGAGAAGGGTTTCAGTGTCCCCTTTGTTTTCTCCCGCAGAGAAAAGCGAAATGCAGGACCTTGCCAGACCTGTCTTGCCATGCCGGAGATCGGGAACGCCGAGCTCAGCTACAGCGGAACTTCCTGGGAAAGGATCTGCCCAGTCCATCACTGCCCCGTTCCCGCCTCCCCCAGGCTGGGGGGGGACCCCCTGCCTTCCTCCAGCCACACGCTGGGACCCGTTTCCAGCCAGTCCAACGGGCAGGTGCCGTCCAGCTCCCAGGACCCACAGCAGCCGCACGTGTATTTCCCCTGCAGCCAGCAGGAGCCTGAGGGCAGCTGCGGGCTGCCCCCGCTCCCAGGGCACGGCGAGAGGCCCGTGCTCTGTTCCCACCACTCCAGTGGCGATCCCACACCGGCTTCCCACCACAACATCTCGGAAACCCCCTGGAAACAGTGGTCCCCTGGCCAGCGAGCCTCCCGGCCGGTGCAGCATCACATCGTAACGGTGAGGTAAGGGGCGCTCAGCATCTCAGAGGTTTGTGGAGAGCCTCTCCCGGGCTTCACCGTGGGGCGAGAAGGGTCCGAGGGGGTATGCATGAAACACGGGTTTGCCTCTGTAGCTTGGCAAGCAGCCAACGCAAAGAGCTTTGGGCTCTTTGGGAAGAGAAAAGGGAAAGCCCAGCTCTCTCAGCTGCTCCCACATCATCCGGCTGCAACCGTGCCGGTCTCCTCAGGCAGCACTGAGACCATGAAACCATGCGAGGTGCAACCATGGCCATCCCGTGCCTCAGGTAGCTCTCTAAGATCCGCAGCAGGTGAAATGCCTGCTCTGCCCCTTCCAGCCTCATCCATGCTCGCGTCTTGTGCCCTCTGGAGTCCACTGTTGGCAATAAAAACCATGATTTCTTTGCTAGCACAATAGAAGGCCCCAAGTAAAGTCCAATAAGAGGCAGCGTCGAATTCCCTGCCTTTGCACAGCAGTGCTGGGTTAGGCTATGGTCTCATTTTCTAATCATTAGCAGAGGATTTAATTGACCTCAGTTTGCAGTGGAGAGCAACTGCAGCCAGAGGACTGGAGTCTGTATCCTTTATAGCTCATCGTCACTGTTGACAGCATGGTCAACTGCCTGCTCCGCAACAGCTTGTTTAGGCAGCAAACAGCTGGATTGCAAATTCCTGGCAGGACGTGCAGCCTTGGCAGACAGCAAAGCAGGATCATAATCTCAGAGAAGTAGGATCATAATCACAAGCAAATGAATCAGAGCAAATTTTGAATCTGAGCAAATCTGCTTGAGCAGGGAAGAACGAGCACCGAGGTGGCCAGTGCGCCACCACAGTGAAACCTCCCTTAATAATCCGAGGAGGGTTTTCCTTTGCTCTCCTCTTTTCCAAGTCCAGGGAACGCTAGTATGAGGGGGAAAACGCAGTATGACTTAGTGCCCGATGGCACATGCCACCAAGAGCACCTCTCCCAGCCATTTGAACAGCTCCATTGGCCTTCTGCTCCTCTCGGCTGACGAGTGTTGCCTTTGGAAGAGCCCAGGAAACAAAAGAGCTCCAGAGTTTTGGAAAGCTCTTGCTGAGCTTAGGAAGTAAGAATTACCTATAGGCGTCGTTAGTTCAGCTTGAGAAATACAGTAAGAATTACGTTCTTGTCATGAAACATGTAGAAAATCACTCGGAAAGCACTTAAAATGGATAGGGTTTTATGAATAAGAGCTACAGTGCGATTTCTGTGGAATTGTATCATGCCCGTTTCAATCCCCAGGGTTTCCTAGAGGGGCAAAAGCCAGGAGTGGCTACATCCCGTGGCACCACATTCAGTTAAAAGGCCAGTGGGGAGGAAGAGGCCTGGTCCGCACAGTGCCAGGCGGTGGCACCTCCACTCGCAGCAACTGCTCAGTTCGCTGTTTTGCAGCTCCTGAAAGGGTTAATTTGCTCATTAACACCCCAGCACTTCGTTCATAGCAACATAATAAATGAGCACATCTTTCTTTTTTTTTTCTGCCTGCAGACATGACAAAGCTTTCAGGATGCCAAAAAGGTATGTTTAACATCCCAAGCTTCCTGGCCTTCCACCCCATGACCGTTGCTCCGCTCCGCTGCCATGAGGAAATGTAGTGTATTATGGACGGTGGCCTCGCTGGCAGGCCCAGCATCAAGGTCAGAGCTCCCCACTCAGGGCTTTCCGTTTGCTTGAAAAAAATGGGCTTGCAAGATCAATTAACTGGCTTTAATGAATAGCAACGGTGCCTAGATAGCTGATCCCAGCAGGCGCCTGGCTCGAGTCCATACCAGGATGGTTTTTATCATCCTACTCAGCCCACCAGAGGGGAAACGAGGATGCCTGGTCCTTCCAGGGCTACCTCCACATGCTACCTTAGGCAACGTCACTCTTCTGTGCCTCAGTTCTTCCTCCTTTGGAAAACAACCAGCAGGTTTTATGCAAGATTTTAGAGCAATTGCGGGTAGTGAGCCAGGAAATGAAAGCAGGACGAGTTACATGTGATTACATTACTAGACTCAGCTGGAGCTTCAGTTGCTTGGTTCAGGGTAGCAATAACAGTGGAGCCTCCATTTCCTCACTGAACAAGGCAGAAGAAACCTTAGTTTCAAGGTGATGCTTCGTGTTTCTCATAGATCTATAAAAATCTTTTCTGGTGAAAGCTGTGATTGTCGCAGTCGTGGCGGCCAAAAACACAAACAACTGGGGTAGATGCAACGCAAACTACTCTTTATTGTTTTTTAGGTACATTATTTATACCGAGCCCTCCTCGTCGTGGCTGCTGCTTATTGGTGAGGACTACAAAGGACAGTAGCTAGTAACAGATTTATGATTGGATGATTCTTAGCTTGGCCAGTTTCTGCTCTGTGGCCAAACCTCCTTAAACTTGTTAATAACTTTCTGCTGTCTCCGTGTGAACTCCCTATCTCATAGATACACTCTAATCTTTTCAAGGTTAACGTTCTCTGCTAAGGGAGCCAGGGATTTCACAGACCTGCTGCCATCCCTGACAGTGATTAAGAGATGTGAAATACGCAGGAGAGGGTAGGCTGAGGAAATGCAATTCCAGCTTTCTGCAAGAGGCAAAAAATACAATCCTGACTGATGCTGGAAAAGACTATGGTTAGTCTAGTCATTTCTGAGAAAAAAACATGGCTTTTTTAACAAAAAAGACAAATAGGATAACTGTTTCCTTTATCGCCAGTCTTCTGTTTTTAAATTTCAGTCAAATGAAGGCGAACATGCAAGGGCATACTACCATAATGAAGATCACATTTAATACCCTCCCAATTGTATAAACACAGTTAATTAGGTTATTAAAATATAAAGATCACCTGGTTCTCAGAAATAAATGTGGATGCAACAGATTTCAGTGCAGTTATTTTATAGAAATGTTCATCTTTATTGAGCTTCTTCACAATGTTTGAAAAACTCTTGGAAAATAGAAACAGACAACAGGGAAATTGCTACTTCCTAAAGAACACGGATTTTGCATTTGGGTGTGTAGCAGAATTTCGGAATAATGGGTTCAGTTGAAATGCCTAAATTGAAAAATGATGTAATTGTTTTTACCTCCTTCAAAAATATAGATAGTAATAGGAAGTTTGCCTGTCCAAAAGATCGCTTTCAATCCATTTCTCAAGATTAAAATACATTCACTGCTTTCAACTTTCATTTTAAAACTGATGGTTGCAAGCTATTTTTCTCTAGGAGGTTGGGCTAAGCATTTTTCAGCACTAGATATGGCAGTTTGCTCTCTTTTTCCTCTTTCTTGATAATTTAGACATAGAACTACCAGAAACTGTCCCCAGCTATTAAGTAATCTAATATGTAAAGGGCTTCTTGTTGTTGTTGACTTTTTTTTTTGTATATTTTCATAGTGAGAGTTGAATCTAAAAAAAATTTGATAAACAAGTCCTAAATTAAGCCTGATTTAAAGTAATGTAGAAAGGCATTTGATGGGCTTATGATTATTTTTAATTATGAAGAAACGCTGTATTATTTGACTCAGTGAAGCCTGGAGTAAGAAGCGAAAGATTAGGCAAGCGGGAACATTGAATCCCAAGACTGATAAGCCCTGGCACAGCTGCTCTGTCTAAGGCTCATAAATATTACACTTCCCAAAGCTCAAATATTTCTCAACTGTTTTTGGATGCGGCATTTCTTACCCTGCAGAACACCAGAAATATTTAGAAACTCACACTGAGCAGGAACCTATTCCAGTAGCTTGTCCCTGAAGGACGTTTTTGAGGAGCTGAAACCGTTGCCTGCTAGGCGAGCCATTTGCAGATGCTCTTTTTGTAGGTTTGGCATTTGCTTTTGAGGCTGAGATCAGAGCGAGACCCCATCGCCCAGCAGTTGCAGGAGCTGCTTATCCTGTGTGTGAACGCTGCTGACAGCCAGTTACAAGCTAAATCCGTGATTTCCACCCTTTCTTTGCTTTGCTAAAGCCCACATGTTTCCCAGCAGTAAGGCAGACTCCTATACAACGAGCAATGACGAGAGATTTTCGTTACTCAGTTATCTTTAGGGGATCCTTTGGACGGGATCATAGACTCCCAAGGGTCCACAAAGCAAAAATCTGCAGGCCAATCTGTCAGGTAGCTACTAGGTTTGACTGTACAGTGAGAAATAAGAATAAAAAAAGAAAAACAAACAAAAAAAAGAAGCTCTTTTTAAACAGAAAATATAAGTTAAATATTTGAAGCTTCCTCTTTTGCCTTTAGGATGCAGCAGTCTGGTTTTCATTATTTCTGATTGAAAAAGCAGGAAAATATAGACAGGCGAAACATAATTACCCAAGTTAATTAGAATTGCCTGCAAACATTCAGTCGGAGGTAGGGTATGTTCACTAATAGCTGCGCTAGAGCCTCTCAGCTTTGCAATAAAGAAATGCCCAAACTAGAAAGCCCTAATTCTTTTACTTGCTTCCTCTAACGCTCTGTTGGTCCAACAGCAGGTTTTGTGCTAACAGCAGAAGTGCCCTCCTGGTGGCATTTTCTTTCTCCCTTCTCCTGTCGCCCGCAGTTACTCCCAGATGATCGCCGAGTGGCCCGTCGCCGTCCTGGCGCTCTGCTCGGTCACGGCTCTGCTGTGCACCTTAGCTGGCCTGCTCGTTGGGGAGCTGCCAGATTTCTCAGAACCCCTCATGGTGAGTCCCTACGGAGAGCGTGTTGGAACGGCCACACGGAAAAGCCGTGGGCCAGCCAAGGACGTTGGCTTTCTCCCATATAAAACTAGCATATGCTGGTAGAGGCAGCAAGGAGAACAGTAAAGCAAAGAGGCCACAAAAGCCACTAGAGAAGACGGCAATTTTCCATCAAATTTCTCTCTCACTTCCGTAAGTGATTATTTTAAAGAAGAGGCGTCTTACAAGAGCAAGGAGAGAGAAATGAAGGCATCCTCCACCAAAGAGAGCAGAAATACTTTTCTGTCAGCTCTCGGTTGCAGTACAATTCTTTCCAGGAGAAAGTCCTGGAAATTTGTGCCTCTCTGCAAGACACAGTAGTAATCCCACGCAGTTTCTGTGTCTAGGAGGAAGATTAAGGAAATCAAAGCCAAAATAAAACACAAGCTGATGAGAAACCCTTTTTCCTTGGCTGCAGGGTTTTGAGCCACGAGACACTGACATCGGCAGAAAACTGACAGTGTGGAAGAACGTAGAGAGCCACACGGGCTACAAGAAGACCTTTTCCCTTTCTCCCTACACTGAGAAGAACAGGTACTTGGGGTGGAAAGTTCATGGGAAAAGTCAACCGATTCAATGACCAGAGATGTTTATGTGAACCAGAACACACAGCCTGTGCTCAAAAGCAGCAACGGCTCTGGGGAATTGCAAGTGTGTTTGCTTGCAGGGAGGATGGATGATGCGTCTAGTTCACTAAATATTCCAATTTCTTGCTAGCTATGACGACCTGGCCTTTAGCAGGGGACAGAAGGCTATTCCAGGTGAACAGGAAGCAAGGACACGGAGAATGGTGGAACCAATCTACGGAGCAGATGGCTTCTTTTGCGGGCCCCCGGGTGAGTGAAATCTTGGTGGGCTATTAAATATAACACATCCAGTAGCCCAACAGCATGCAGAATTGCTGATTTTTTTAAAAAAACCTAGGGAAATGGTCTGAAATTGCTCCAAAAAATAATGCATATAATATCATTTCATGACCACTAAACCACCTTTCATGTAATCAGTTCTCAGCCCTTCAAAACAAAATGGGAACCACCACGATATATTTTTAATAATACTGATTTCTGTGTTTTTTTATAGTACTATTTTTTTCTCTAAAAAGTTGCATTTAATTAAAAAAATGCAAAAAAAAAAAGCACAGTGCTTATTAAATTCAGTTCCTCACTTTGTAACTAGGGTGCAGAACCAGATGCCACCACTATCACTAAAAGGATGTTCAGAGCAGGGAGAGCATGTTTGGAACATGCCAACATTCTCCTGCTCTCCCCGTGCTGACAGATTGGTGAGGAGCAGGGGTCAGATCGCACAAGGCAGATGCTACCACTCACTGTGAGCTACTGGCTTTGTGACCTGCTTCTCTTCAGCTCAGGGACTACTCCAAACAGCTTGGCTGATTTAGCTACATTACCTAATACATTTCTTTGCCTTTTTTTTTTTCTCCAGAAAAGAGCTATTCCCAGCTGGTATTTATGTCCACAACTGCTGGGAGCTTATGGAACTTGCAAGCTATTCAGTCCATGTGTCAAATTGAACAAGACAAGGTTAGTAATGTCAGGAAGAACATACACACACGCTGTCTGTTTTCTGGCTATCGTTATCTTTAATCTCTAGCTGAAGAGAAACAAGCCCCAAATAATGTAAGCTACGAAATAGGTTTCAGCCTAGACTCCTAAGCATTTGCACATACTTAGCAATACAAGAATGACTTCACCTGTCACTGAAATCCAGCTGAAAAGTAGCAGCTGTTGTTAAATAAGAATAAACTGACACTGAGCAAAAGGCTGGTCCAGAAGGCAGAGATGCCCCTCAGACGTGGCTGAGGATCTTGAGCAGCAGGATGCAATTACCAAAATGGAGCTATCATCTCAGAGACTGTCAAAGGAAGTCTTGCGAGGGGAAAGCTTAATTGGATTAACTATGTTTGCCACAAGATGTTTAATGCTATTAGTGATGAGACTCCCTAGAAGGCTGTCCCGCAGGAGTCTGTCATGCTGCTGAGGGGAGGTGGTTAAGTTTACAGCGCACCCAGCACCGGCAAGAGTGATGAGAACAGCCCTGAGATCCTGGCAAGCAGCGTTGCTAGAACAGCCTTGGGTGGAGCAGGCGGATGGGGCACCAGCTGCAAAGTGCAGGGACTTGCCATGCATTTATCAAGACTGGTAAGGGCTGCCAAGTAGGCCACGGGCAGCGTGTTTGAAGAACAGGAACTGGAGCCACTGGAAGGCCTCCCAGAGCTGCAAGGTTGGACCCTATCTCTGATCTCTCACGTGCCCAACGAAGCAGCTTCTGGGACAGGGAGAAAAGAGCACGGCGGCTCTACAGCCACTGGAGAAGTGGTGTTATGGATTTAATGGTTGGCAGTAGGAGGGTGGTCATGTCACTGCACATGGAGCTGATGTCCTCCAAGAACAACGCTGGGGTCGGGGGGGAAAAAAGGTGTTGAGGAAGAAAGGATGCAGGAGGTCAGGAGGGGGAGAAAAGGAAGGAAAAGCATCTCAGCTCCCTGTTTGCGGCCTGAGAACAACTGTGAAATAAAGGCTACTGCCATTACTAAGAGAAGAACAACAGAGTGCAGAAGGATCCAAATTTTCAGACCTGAGATGATAAAATATACATGGATAAGGCTTAACGTTTGCAAAAGGCGGGTGTGTAACCACAGCTGTAGTATTGGGGAGGATGAGGAACCATGGCTTGTAAACCCAGAGGGCAGAATATCACTGTAAGACCTGGGAATCACTAGAGGGGCTGCAAGGGGGGGTGCACAGAGAGGATCTAATGTGATACTTCCTTGGCTATTTTTCAGATACGCTCACACGTTCATTTTAGAGACCTGTGTCAACGCACCGAGGCCAATGAATGCTGCCCAAGCTGGTCCCTGGGGAACTATATTGCTGTCCTGTACAACAGGTCTTCTTGTTTGGAAATAACCCAAGGAGACATTGCCCATACCCTGGCCCTCCTTCGTTCCTGCGCTCCAGACTACCACAAAGGCGTCCTTACTCCGTCCTGCCTAGGTCCCGAGCCTGTGAGACAGAAACACTCGCAGTGCGCTAAAGTCCCAGAAAAATGTACCCGATTCAATGCTATTTACCAGCTTCTTCACTTCCTGGTCGACAGAGACTTTCTTAGTCCCCAGACAATAGAGTACCAAGTGCCATCTCTCAAGTACAGCCTGCTGTTTTTGCCTACGAGAAAAGGTGCGTCTATGATGGGGATCTACCTAGACAATCTTGAATCCTGGGATCTGTTCGACAATTATACATCTATCACCGGAATGGACCTGGGCCTTAAACAGAAACTATTCCAGCACTATCTTTTACTGGATACAAAATACCCAGTCTTGGCCGTATTCGCCATTTTTCTAAGCATTTCTTTTTACTTGCGCTCAGTCTTTATCACCCTTATGGTCCTGCTCGCTGTTGTCAGTTCTTTGATGATCTCCTATTTCTTGTACAAGGTGGCCTTCAGATTCACCTACTTCCCCTTCGTAAACCTGACAGCAGTTGTGATCCTCAGCAGCATCTGTGCCAATCACACTTTTGTCTTTTTTGACCTCTGGAACCTCAGCAAGAGTCAGAGCCCTTCTGCTGGCCTTCCTCAGTGGGTGAGTCAAACCATGCACCATTTTGCATATCTAATGCTGGCATCCAGCTTCACAACCAGCGCTGCTTTCTATTCCAGCTACATCAGCAACATCACAGCCATCCGCTGCTTCGCCATCTACATGGGCACCTCTGTACTGGTGAACCTGGTGTTCATGATGACTTGGCTTCCTTCTTCCGCTGTCCTGTACGAGCGCTACATCGCGACAAACTGCATTTACAAGCCCGAAGACTACTGGAACAAGGCTGGTCATAAGAGAGCTCTTCTCTCCCTCCGTTACATTCTCAGGGGTCTCCAGAACACGTTGTGTGAAACCTCCAAGCTGTTATTTGAGAAGCTCCTGCCTTGCGGGGTCATCAAGTTTCGCTACATCTGGATCTGCTGGTTTGCAGCCTTAGCAATAGGAGGTGCCTACATTTCCTGCTCCAACCCTAAGCTCAAACTCCCTATGCTGGAGACATCGTCTGTTCAGGTGTTCAGACTGAGCCATCCTTTCGAGAGGTACGATTCCGAGTACTGTCACCAGTTCATGTTTGAGAGGCTAGAGCGCGGAGAAGGACAGCGGATGCCTGTCACAATAGTATGGGGCATTCTGCCTGTGGACAACGGAGATCATTTCAATCCAAAAAGCAACGGCACCCTCGTGACAGATATCGCCTTTAGCATCCAAAATCCCGATGCCCAGAAGTGGCTCCTCGAATTCTGCCAGAAAGTGAAGAATAAAACTTTCTATTACCCCAGCGCAGAGCAGAAATCTACTGTATGCTTCATGGAGGAGTTTCTCAGGTGGATGGACAGTCGCCAGTGCTCCCAGCGAGACCACAACTTCAACCTCCG